CCAGGTGTATAATAAACTGACAAACAATAATTTATAAGCCAAATGAAGTGGATTTATTTTGGGAAACGTAGCTCATCTATGTTCTGTCGAGATATGTAGTTTGTTCCATAAAATAAATCATTGTTTTTCACTTTACTGTTACTTATCTGTAATTCTATTTTCTAAATATTGTGCTAAATTTCTGTTATTCTTACGATAACTGGTCACGAGCTCAAAACTGAATAAACTAGCTGGGCACTCGGTAGAGAGAATAGCCACGCAGCTTTGATCATATTCGGCCCTCAAAAAATACGAAAACGTGTCCGTATGTCCGCCGTTATCAACAGACACGGAAAATTTTTGGCAGGACAATGAAGAATATTCTACACATGTCCACCAAATTTCATCAAAATCCGATCGTTTTTGACCGAGTTGTAGTGTGAAAAATCGGCCCCCGTGTATTTTTGGATTTTCGTTACCTTGACCCTCCAAAAACTAGTCACTTCTAAGTTAGGTCATAGTCCAACTGTATTAAAACATTCGGTCAAATTCATTCAGCCGTTTTCGAAGAATCTTGCTGACAAACGCACACATACAGGGAGGGGAACACAACCTCTGGCCACCCACCATATGGTGACGGAATATTACAGTAATAAAATATTAGATCCATAATTATCGAATATTCTAGACTTCCTGTTTCAAGGGCAGCAGGAAGTCCAAAGATTTCGTGGTACAGACTCCAAAACTTTAGGACCTCTGGTGAAGATTATCTGAACCTAAGCGTCTTTTAAAAAGTAACATAGTGAATGAAACGCTTGTGTCATAGGTGGCGCGCGTAAAGTACTTTTTTTTTTTTGCGGCGTTCAGTATATGTTTGTTAACTTGAATAAGAAAGACATTGGTAAAACGAGTTGGCGGTGGGTGGTATTGACTAACTACTTTCCCTCTAGTCTATCACTGCTAAATTAGGAGCAGTTAGCCCTCGTGTAACTTTGCACGAAATCCAAACCAAAACCCTTTTTTTTTGTCACTCTCATCTGCGAGGTTGCCAATAAGAGATCCGGATGACCAGTACGTTCCATTATCATAGAGATCATCCTTTGCGGAGCTGACTGCTGGAGTAAGGATCTTGAAATGATTTTCCAGAATCAACTTCTATCAGTGAATTGATAGGGATGGAAAGGGTCCCCTTCAAAAAACAGTGACGTATTTTAAATTGATCACAATATTTTCTTCAAAAATATAAGAATTCTTACGCCTGTTTTCAACCTTTTGTAGATTACAGAAGATCGAGATCCCTCTTCCATACAGAAATACGATCATAAGTTATTCCATAAAACAAAATGATAATATTTCTACCACTTGCATTCCCTTTTTTTATATTTTTTCTAAATAATTTTTTTTCATTGTAAAGCGAAGGTCTGAACCCCCTTGATCCACGCCTGTTATGTTGTATCTGAATCCTGATTTGCATGGCCGGGTGGTTAGGGCGCTCGACTCGCAATCTGTGGTTCGAATCCCCGTCCCACCAAACATGCTCGTCCTTTCAGCCGTGGGGGCGTAATAACGTGACGGTCAATC